CCGACATGTTAATAAACACCTTCACTTCAACCTTTTCAGACTTCTCAGTCTATTCAACCTATTCAAACTTTGCAGCTGTTTCCAAATAAGTCACAAGAGATCTAAGTAGTCCTAATAATTCTTGATTGAACCTTAAGTTGATTTAGGGGAAATTGAATTAGGATGTTTTTACTTGGACTATTTTCAGTCTTTGACCAGATCAGACTTAAAGAGACCATACTTCTGTACTTATAAAATACACAGAGATCAGACATTTATCAAACTAGACCAGTTTATACCAGACTTAAACAGACCAGATTAGCAAATTTTAGTCCAAGTAAAAACATCTTTAGTAAATGAACTCATATTAATCTACACAAACTCAAGTTTTGTTTGAAAGAAAAAATCACTTATATTAATATTATTAAAATTTGTATCATTACAACAAACTCAAAGAGACCAACACTGGCGACCAAGAAAGAAAAGAGTAGTCGGTCAGACCCGGCGGCGTCAAGGGAGAGCTCTAAGCTGGCGGGTGAAGGCAACGAAAAGTTTCACTTGCTGAGGTGACGTTAAAATTTTGCATGCAACGAAGGGATAAAGTATTGTGCAATTTGAAAAGCCATAGGTAATAAACGGGCCATTATTTCATTTTACATTCAAATCAACGATTTCAACCAACATATTACTAAACACCTTCACTTCAACACTTTCAGACTTTTCAGTCTATTCAACCTATTCAGCCTTTGCAGCCGTTTCCAAATAAGTCACAGTGATCTAAATAGCCCTAATAATTCTTAATTGCACCTTAAGCTGATTTAGCGGAAACTGAATTAGGATATTTTTACTTGGATTATTTTCAGCCTTAAACCAGACCAGACTTAAAAAAACTAGACCAGACCAGTTCGAACTAGACAAGACCGAACTTCTGTACTTATAAAATACACAGAGATCAGACGCTTATCAGACCAGACCAGTTTAGACCGGACCAGATCAACAAAGTTTAATCCAACTAACAACATCCTTAGAAAATGAATTCATATTCATCTACACAAAGAACAATTTAAATCCTAACTCCGTCCATATGAAAACAGTGTTTCGACTCCGTCAATACTGTTTTTCCCTGCATCCGTGCACCATCAATAAAATACACTCAACATATTTTTTTACATATCAATTTAGTAAAACATTTGTTATTTTATTATAAGTAATGTTTTCCGTGTAATATTTTCCCTAAATAATTGTGATATAAAAAACACACATTTCGATGTAAAAATAAATAAATTTCATTAATTTTTTTAATGTTTTCGGTTAACAAAAATGAACTTAGTTCAAGTAAAGTTCGATTATGAAATATTCAGTTATTTGTGAAGATTCTATGAATTAAAAATTTGTGTTTCATCGTTTTGTAGACTGAAGAATACTTCAACGGTTAAAACTTAAGAATTTTTGTTTCATTTTATAAATTACATATTAGAAACTAAATGAAATCGTTTTGTTTCATTTAGATTCCAGTAATGAAATGAGGTAATAAATAAAGCGTATGGATGAAGTTTGGTTTAGTGGTAGTGAGTGTGCAGCAATGAATAGTTTGGGGATGTTTGGAACTGATTCTGCTTCTGCTTCTTTTTTAAAGCAGAAGCAGAATCTGAATCAGTTTTCAGAAGCTGGTACCCCCCAGCTTCTAAAAAAACTGATTCTAAGAGTAAATTAGAGCACCAGAATCACTTCTGCATTTTTACCCAAACACTCCAACTTCTATTTCTGCTCCCTGAAGGAGCAGAAGCAGTTTTAAGAATCGGATCCAAACACCCCCTTTATTATTTTCAGAAATTAAATTTGCGATTGTAGAAATGTGAGAGTATTAATGTATACAATGTGTAAGTAACTGTTCTGCGTATCTAACAGTGTTGTATTTTCTATTGTTTTGTAAAGAGCTACCAATTGAATGTTGTTACTTGTTCTTCAAAATACCATATTCCGTATTCGTTGTCTCTTGACAAAAGATTTAGTTTGCGTTTGCAGCGACATGGAACCATTGTTATTGACAGTGTTGGTAGGGAATGGGTGGGATGAAAAGAAGGTATTTCAAACTGAATCCAGCCATGGAATGGTCGTGAATTGTGCGACAACATATGAAGAACTTTTGGCTAAGATGCGGGATTTATTAAGAGTTGATAAAGAAGGCCAGAATTTTCAAATTGCATATCTTATTGATGAGGCATATACACCCACTGTTGTTTATAGCGATATGAGCCTGCGTTTTTATTTGCAAGTCAAGAACACTGTCAGGGAAAAAATAGGGGCATTTCCGATGTGTGTAGAACTGGATCACAGCGAGACTGAAGTGCAGACTAGAGTGAATGAGAGGATGATTGTGGCTACACATGGTATTATCAGTGATGAAGTATGTCGTGGTAGTGAGATTAATGAAGGGATTACTGTGGAGCTGCCAATGTGTTCTGATAGCACTTTATATGGACATGCAGAAGGTGATCTATTAGGGTCAAGACTACAAATGAATGCAATATACCCATCGAAGGAAGAGTTTAAAGAGACACTACAATTGTACACGCTCAGGAATAAATTCCAGTACCATACAAAAACATCTCACCTGGGTGTTTTACATGTTGTGTGCGTCAGTCATACATGCAAGTGAGCAGCTAGAGGGGTTAGGATCAAAGACACAGAATGCTTCAAAGTAAGAAGGTACGATTAATCTAACCATGCAGTTTTCCTATTAAATTCAATTAGTATAATGTGGAAATGATTTGATGAGTTGACTGGATTTGTAGTAATTTGTTATATTGTGATGTAATGAAGTTTATTTATTATTTGTTAATTGAATGACCCGGTTTGATGACATCCATACATGCTCAATTGATCACAGATTAAATGGGAGTCATCAAGCAAGTGCAACACTTATTGGGAAGTTGGTGAAACATCGGTATATGGATGCCTCAAGAAAGCCATATCAGCCCAAATGTATAATGGCAGACTTGAAACGTAGTTTAGGAGTGAAGATGAATTACCAAAAAGCATGGAGGGAGAAGGAGTGTGCGCTGCGTGCATTAACTGGATCTGATTTTGAGTCTTATAGGAAGCTTCCGGGGTTGTGCTATATGCTACTAAAAAAATCCAGAATCACATATAGCATTGGAGACAGACAATGAGCAGAATTTCAAATATTTTTTATGTCATTGGCAGCATGGCGGAATGGGTGGCATTGGTTTCGGCCGGTAATAATCGTTGATGGCTCATTCATGAGAGCAACGTTTAGGGGAACATTATTGACAACATGTGCTCTTGACGGAAATAGACAAATATTTCCTATTGGTATCGGAGTGTGCGATAGGGAAAACAACGATACGTGGAAGTGGCTCTTCACACAATTGAAACAACTTATTGGAGACAGGCAAGACTTGTGTGTTGTTTCAGATAGGAATGAGGGTATAATTAACGCTATTAAGCAAGTGTTTCCGTACGCAGACCATGGGTATTGTGTGCAGCATATTTTGGGAAATATAACCACAAAGTTTCGTGGCAAGAAAAAATGTGTAACTAACTTGGTTAATGCAGCGGCGAGGGCGTCAACAAGTAAATTGTGTGAATACTTGTTGGGATTACTAGACACTGAAGATCCTAGAATAAGAACCTATCTAGAAAAGATTGGGAAAAAATGGGCTAGGTCTGCATTTAAGCGGCGAAAGTACTCAATCGTGACCTCAAATAATGTTGAATCCATGAATGCTATGGATCGATTAGCACGAGAGTATCCAATATCCACTCTTATAGAGTATTTGAGAGATAAAATGCAAGATTGTTTTTTAAGAGGAGGACTTTGGCCAATGAAACAGCCACAACATTAACACCGGCTGCTGAAACAATGCTACTAGAGCGTCTCTTTAGTAGTCGTGGAATGATAGTAAGTCAAATTTTATTAAGTTTTGTTTTATTAATAAAAGAATGGTAATGGGAAGATTACTTTTGTGATGTGTAATAATTTGATATGTGGGTAAATGCTAATGCAGGTAAAACCTAGTACAAGTCTGAGCGCAGAAGTAATTGACTTGTCATGTAAGGCATTTGTGGTGAATCTAGAGGAAAGGAGATGCACTTGTAGAGAATTCCAATTGGAAGATTTTGTGTGTGTTCATTCGGTTGCTCTTATAGAACACCTAAATGGGCTATCATGTTATGACTATGTGTCAGCTTATTACAAGACAAGCTCATGTGTGGGGCATATTCTGAAATTGTTCATCCCATTGGTTCGTATGCAGACGATGAAATTCCAGAGGAGTATAGGAGGTGGGAGGTTAAACCTCCTCTATGCAAAACAAGAACTGCCGGTAGGCTGAAATCGAAGAGGATACGTTCTGTTGGTGAATTTGGTTCAAGACAGAAGTGTAAAAGCTGCAAGCAACATGAGCATAACCAAAAGACTTGTAATAACCCGATACCGCTATGAATGATTTGCGATTTTGTTGCTACGTTGTTGAATAATTTAGTTGTTTGTTTCTTCAGCAAACATGCAGTCATGTTTTAGTGGATTTCAGATTTAGTTTATGCACTAGAACTATGATATTGTTTAATAATTGAATGTACATTTAAATCGTGATTTCAAAGCTGTACTTGCACACTGATAGTTACTGTTTCATACCATAAAAATTGTTTGACTGGTTGCGGTGTGATGTTTATTTATATATTTTTGTCCATATTTTCCACATAGATGAAAAAACTCTAAAACTGAATGAGGTTTTGATGAAATGTGTTTTTAGTACGGGACCTATGACAACGGTAAGCAATGTACATAGTTAGCATTTTGGTATCACAGGTCAAAGCAATAATTCAAAGATCATGCAACATGAAAGTCAAGGAACTAGTAATTTACATATTAATTTTCGTATGTTTCACTTGCTGCATTTGGGTATAACATTTGGAGTTTAGGGCATAACACAAAGAGTTTAAAGAATTGATGTAGTATTGAATTGCAATGAGTATTGTCAAAAACAATTGACTTTGCAAAACATATTAAAAGTTGCTGTCATTTCCAATGAAATGAAAGAGTATACAAAAAAATATCCAAGCTGAACCGTGCACAATAGTGCAACAAAAGTAACAGGAAACAGTGCGGTATGATTCAAAAATAAATAATACAAGACAGAGGGACATTTGCTAAAGTAAATTATGTTGTGCATCTTCAGGAGCTACACTTTGTTTTCATTTTGGTCCCCATATTGATAGAGGTCGTGAGCCCACTTTGCCCGATACTCTAGAATCTTCGATGGACAAAGCTTCTTGATATTAATTCCCATCTGTAGAAGCTCCGCAAACTTAAGCATAAAGATAGCACAATCTCCCCTGCAATACATGTAGTAATTAGAATCTTAATTTGGAAAGAGGATTAAAATCTTAAATTGTTTTAATGATTACCCATTATCTTGTTGCGGTACATCTTCAAAGACTTCCAATTTGTATGATGGAGCATCATTGAATGATGCATTCTGCTGATGTGCCTTGAGTGTTGCTACAACTTTGGGAAGGTAATGAATTAGGCCACGCATGTACTCCACTGTCTTGGCTTTCTTAGTAGCACGACGTATGTTTGAGTCATACATAAATAAACAGTGCTTGTGAATATCCAACACAACCAAACACCAGTGCGTTTCGAAAAGATTCAGAGGAATGTAGACACGATCACACTCCCAGAATGGTGGCATGTACAGTTCCTCTGCACCTGCTATTTCTTCAACTAAATAACCATCAGAGGGCGAGTCTTCAGGATGAATAGCACCTGCCTTGTATTTATCATACATCCATCTTGTTCAAATAATCAGGGATGTATGTGAAACAAGTGGAGATTTTTTCAGGGTATGGATAAGTAGCTGCCTTCATACGGAGATAGAAACATATTACTTGAACATGCTAAAGTAAATACTAGTATACTACCTCTGTTCTTAAATAAGTGCAACATGTGAAATTTTACACTATTCACATGTTCTACTTTGACTACATTTTATTTATTGATGTATTAATATATATTTTTTTGAAAAATGTATTATTAAATTTGTCTCATTGTAAATTTTCAAAAACTAATTTTTTTAAATTTTTTACTAATAGAGAATTATATGTATTAATGGTCAAAGTTGTATCTCGGCAAGTGTGAAATGTTGAGTGTTGCACTTATTTAAGAATGGAGGAAGTATTTAAAACAAGTATGAGTTAATGACTGTGATCGGCTTTTAAAAGTAGAGAAGCAAGGTAGGGAAGGGAATTGATTTAGGTGACGAATATAAATGTATATATATACATACATTTGTAAAATATAAACCATACCATGGCGTCTAGCCACTGTGCAGGCTCATGTAGACGATAGATCCATGACTTGCTATCTATGACCACATCATAAAAAAAACCAAATGAATGGATTTATCTTCTTCTGATAAATACTTCTTGGGTACAGATGTAGATCTATGCCCTCTTACTACTTCTTGTATGATGAACTGTGTAAACCTGAGCCGCTAAGATGGAGGTTTCAACTCAACTAAAGGGTCTAGAGCAAATGGGCAAAGTTTATGCGAAGGGCGTTGCTTCTTGCACTTTTGGAGTGCATTTGAACCTGGGGTGTAACGGGCTAGTGATTGGTGAACGAAGTCTCCTTTTGGGACGCTCTTCAGGTACAGAAAACACAGGCTGAGGTACATGTAATGTAGTCAGGTAGGTTGTCAGTTTTAATCACTAAACAAATGTAAACAAAATAGATGATGTAAATGTAATTTCAGATTTATGTACGAGAAAGTTAACCTGTTTAAAGACAATAGGTTTGGGTGGGTGGAGTGGGACCTTGGGGGGCTGATTATTTTTACCATCCTGTGTTTTAGAAAAACCATGTGAAGCAATAACTTAAATTTTAAAAAAATGGAATATTGAAGGGTAGATACCTGATTGAGAAACGAGTTGCTGGTATGTGGTCGGGACGCATCATTATTACTGTCCTTAGAAGTTGAGAGATTGGTATCCTAGTTAGTATGAAAACAAAAAAAGAAGTGAAGAAGGGAGGGTGTTATAGAGATAAAGAAAAGTATGTGTCAAAGTTCATAGAGGAAAAATGTATACCTTCAAATCATACAGGTCAAATGCAACGTTAATAATTTGAGTGTAGGAAACGTCTAATTCTTCCTCAGGAGCATTGTTTGGATCATTCGTAGCAAGAGAAACATTATCAACACCATGCTGGATGTGATTGTCTTTTTGACAGCCTATATTGTCGTGACTTGCAAGAGTATGACCACCATTTTCATGATGACCAGAAGACCCGTCCGGTTGTTGCTGTGGAACTGAACTAGTACGCATTGGAGAAGTAAATTGTTTGGAAGAGTTATCGTGAAGCCTCTGTTTAAGCATGAGGATGACTTCACCTTGATCCTTCACCTTGGCCTCTAATTCAGATATTATAGGACGTAATGAATTCAATTCGTCATTGAATAAAGCAATCTTGGCTACAAACTCAGAGCATGGAAAATGATCTGCCATATCAACACATCGTTCTTCCCCCCTGCAGTTCTGTGTCCTTGTTGATTGTTTCTTAGCCCCCACGGATACCTTTGACTTCTTCTTGCTTTGGTTTTCTCAGAGGTTGAGCATGGGGTTAGTTTTGATGTAGGTATGGGAGTGACGGGCGGGTTTGCATCCACAAGAATTCCAGCTCGATGAACATTGTCGTGATTCAGTTCTATGGTGGAGGGGGTAATAGGCTGGAACACAAACTGAAAAGCATGGAATAAAAAAAATAAAAGTTAGTGAAATAGAAGGTAGTTGTAATAGCAAATGATATGGACCGGTAGATGTCTCTTTACATTATATGCAATTACTATATGCATCAGGAAATTAAAGAGTAAGTTAGAAATGAGAACGGGATTCATAAAGTTACATGAAGTAATAAAACAATTATTAACTACAAATGCAGTAATTGATAATATTAATAATAAGCTTTACATACATTTGGGTTGCTGAAGATGAAGCAGTTCAAGGTGTTTGGTTTTTCTTGGCAGACGTCCATCTTAAAACCCTTGGAAACGCAACTCGATCAACTAACAGAGCCAAGCCAACTTCTCTTAGACCTGGAAAACTCTCAAAAGCCCATACTTGGAGAGCCACAACACAACCATACACATTATAATGTGCTTCATTTAACTTCAGACAATTAGCACCATTTTTAAAGCAAGAAACCATATCACTCCAAATGACCCTACCCCACAGATAACTATTAAAAGCATCTATATCATCGATTAGGTTTAGATATGAACTGTTTAGTGCAATTTTTGGGTGAGCAGAGAGGAATGAATGAGATAGGACATATATTAGTGAAAGTCTAATTATATCTTCATCAGTCTCCGTACCCTTGACCAAAGATTGGCATAGTGACTTAATATCACTACGTGTGACTCTATAATTGGTGGGGAAATATTTGAGCCAGAACGCACCTCGGTAGGAAGATTCTTGTTCGACAGTGGGGACAGTATCATGGTAATTCAACCCAAGAATAGTGGTGAAATCTAACACAGAGAAATGAACAACCCTATGCTGAATCTCAAAGTACAAACGAAAAGGATTGGCAACATTCTCAACCTCTACCAAATTCCCTAACAGATAATGTATGAGTAGACCACTGCAACACATTTTCCTAGCATCTAGGAACGGGTCAAAGACGGTTTTCCTAAACAGTTGCATTGGATGAGGTTCTAACTTCTGCTTTACTAAAGAGACTGAGTCAAACAACCTAGAATATGTGTTTACTTTCCTGTTTTTTATGGGCTTATAGACTATGGACTTTTTCACCAGCCTCTTGTACATCTGTAGGGAGCATAACATCGAAGTTAGTTACTAATATTGGCATAGTTAGTAGCGTGGAGGGAATAAAATGTACACTTACATGCTTAGGTTTATGGGTGGATGAGACTTTCATGGATGACCGCAGGAATGGTGTTGAAGATAGAGGAGGTGTAGTGAAATCATCATTGTCTTCCATGCTCTGATTCACAAAAATATAGAAATAAGAGAAGCATTAAAAAGCATTTTACTGTAATCTTCTTATTCTATTATCTTTCCTTCGTGACTTTCCTTCATGTTGTTTTATAGTTAATAACTTGATGGATAGTCTACCCGGGGGTATATATCCGAAGGGTATTGCGGGGAATAACTTAGAGAGAAGTCAGAGCAAGTAAATGTAGAGAGAGAGAGTGTATTATAAATGTGGAGCGTTTTCAGCGTGGTTACAAATGGGGAAATGGGGTGCTATTTATAGTAGCAATAAATGCCGGGCAGGGACACGTGTCAAGCGCTCATTGGCCGAGGGGTCACCTCAACTGGTTGGCGCTGGCAGCCGCATGTGGCCGCATTTAATGCGGCTGTTGGATGGGACGTCTGTGCGGGGTACGGTGATCTGTACGCATGTGAGGCGGATATCTTGTCGAGTGAGATGCCTTCGGCTATAGAGCAGTAGCCGAGGGCTCCTCCAACCGATGGCACCCTGGTCCCGAGGGCTCACAGTGCCGAGGGCTACTGTTTTCGCCGTTTTTCTCCCAATTTCTTAATTTTCTTGAGAAACCCGTTCTGCGAGAGTTTAGAGCCTTCGGCCAGGGGGCCGAAGGCACCCCTGGCGCGTAGTGTGGGCTGCTTGGTACTCTGGGCGCTGTGATTTGGGCCTGTTGGGCCTCTAAAGGAGTAGTAGGAGTCTGTGGGCCGGGGGTTCCCGGGCCATATACTCCATCAGGAGTCCCTCACTCCTTTTGCCGAAAGGTACTTGAGGGAAAAGGAGTAATTTGTGCTTGCCCTTTGATGTTGTCCCGTCGTGATCTCTGAAGTTGGTGAGGAGTTGTTGCTTTTATGCCCCTGCCGAAGGCAGTCCCTCAGTTACCCACATGTCGGGACTTGAGGGCTTGCCTTGTCGTTTGTTGGATTTTTACTAATTTTGTAATTTAATGATTTTCCCGAGGGGGTCCTCCAGTCCCCCACTCCTTGAGGCACTTGTAAAGTGGTGAAAAGGAGTAGAGTAGTTGTGTTGCTGTTGTGGGCCGAAGGCTGACGCTTTTCGTTTCATTTTGGGGGGATGCCTCGTTAAAAACCTCATTAGGAAAAACCCTGTGGGAAAAAATCCTAATGAGGGAAAAAGAGTGCACCGAATTCCCCCAATGATGAATCGAAAATGTCAAACCTTGGTAAAAATGGAGAATAACGGGAATGCCGAAGGCTCTCTCTTCTGAGGGCTCCTGTGTTGATTAGCCGGAGGCTTGCTGTTGATGTCCTGGGTGCGCCGAAGGGGAGCCCCTCAATCTGGGGATCGAGGGCCCGCTGGATGAGGGCAGCAGTGGAGTTGTTACCGGGGGGTCCACTGTTTGTTGATTAATTGGTGATGAAGATACCCGAGGGCTCCCATTACCTGTGTGCCATGGGTCACCCGTCAATGAGGCAACTCCCCGGGGGCTACCCGGTTTTGCAGTGCTGAGGGGGGATCCCCGAGGGGTGCCCTGATATGAAGCCCTGGGTTTATGAAGGAGTGATCCCGAAGGCGTCTGTTATGTGCTGTGTGGGGCACAGCCCGGGGGCGCTTCTGGGTAAGTGTACCCGGAGGCTATCCTCGATGAAGTGGAGTGAAGTAGAAAACCCGGGGGCTTCCAGAATATAGCCGTTGGGAATATAGCCGTTGGAATATGTAGCGTCAGATTTATAGCCGTTGGAATATGTAACGTCAGGTTCATAGCCGTTGGGGGGGTACACGTGGCGTGTGATGGCTGGCTGTCCGTGGGCGGCGTCACTGGTTGGGCGAAGACGCGGTGTGTAATGATGGCGCCCATCCGGAGGCTCGGTTTTCGGGCCCAAGCCCGGATTCCAGCGCCTATAAATACCCCAAGGCCAGGGCCATTCCTTCTTGTGCAATCATTTGTTTTAGCGAAGCTCTGCCGAAAATTCTAGAGAGAGAAACTCCAGCCTTCGGTCAAAACTCTGCTTTCAAGGTCAGTGCCCGTTTTCCTCTCCAAACTTTTAGTAAGTTCCGCCCTCTGGCCTTAGATTAGGGTTAGTCCTGTAGAAAGCCTTCGAAATCTTAGACACACTTCGTGATAAAAATGTCGTCCGAGAGCGATTCCCAGGACATCTCGAGGACGCCCTCGATGGAGGACGAAGGCATCTCCGACGTGGAGTCCAGCAGTGGTCAGCCCTCGGATGGTGGTGATGCAGCCCTCGCCACTGAGGTGCAGAAGGATCTGATGGCCGAGGCCGAGGCGGAGGAATTCGAGCGAACTGCCGAGGATGAAGAGTTGGCCCTCGCCGTCCAAGTTGCTGAAGAGGAGGAGGAAAAGGAGAGGGCGAAGGTCACTGTGGCCGTCCTTCCCCCTCGGGGTGCTGGTGAGGCCAGTACTTCCCAGCCGCTGAATGCAGTTCCCATCCGGGTGGCCCCCGGGAAGAAGAAGGCCAAGACAGCTGCCCCCAAGAAGAAGGTTATTGCTGCTGATCAGGGGAAACCCGTAGATATGCCGGAGGGGTATTCCTGGCTCAACACGGCTGCCCTGGAGATAAAGTCGAAGGCGGACAGGGCGGACCTCTACGTGACGCAGCTACATGTAGGGCCCTCGGCCGTGGTGGTCGAGCCGGGAGTTGACGACGTGCTCTCTCGGACGCCTGAGGGGTGTAATGCAGTACACGTACTGTCGGTCTCCATGGGCCTTCGGTTCCCTCTGCACCCCTTCCTCCGGGAGTACCTGAGGTTTGTTGGCTTGGTACCCTGCCAGCTGACACCTAATAGCCACTCCTACGTGGCGGGTTTTTTAAACCTCTGTAGGGACCGAGGGGTGACCCCCAGCCTGGACTTGTTCTTCCAGAGCTTCAACCTCTGTCGAGGGGGTCACGCGAATGCCGAGGGCTTCGCCAACCTGCAGCAGGTGGCCAGGTGGAAGCTGTTTACGGAGGCGCCTTTGTCCAATAAGGGCTGGAAGGAGCGCTGGTGCTATGTCAGGGTTGCTGAGAACCCATTCCCGGCGGAACTTCGGGATCGCTTCCGTCGGCATCCGAAGGTTGGAAGCGCCGCCCTCGAAAAAGATGGCCTGGTGATAGCCAAAATCCCGGAGGGTCGCACAAAGCAGGTCTCCATCAAAGACTATACTACCGACAAGGGATTCTACGCCCTCGGCTTTCGGAGATACCGATTTATTGGGGAAGCGGACGAGAAGTACCCCATTTTTGCTGAGGCCTTCGGGGGAACAGGAGGTAGTCTACGAGGTTCCTCGGTTTTCATATCTTAGCACATAGCTTATTTTGTTCGTGTTTTTTTTATTCCTTGTGCCTTCGGTCAGTAACCCCTCGATTTTAACCCCATACTTTTTTTTGCAGGTGTCCCAGTGAAAATGATGAACGTCAGAGGCCTTGCAGACCTGAAGAAGAAAAAACCCTCCAAGGGCCCGAGGGGGACGGACGCCGGTGTCCCAAAACCCGCCGGTGACTTCTTCAAAAAACCGGAGGGGCCGTCGGTGGGCCCAAGTGCTGATGCTGCCGCTGCTGCCAAAAGGAAGGGCTCGGGCAGAGATCCCGAGGGAAAGAAGCCCAAGACTGGGGATGCCGGGAAGAAAGTCCCCCCGGTGATCATTGTTGATGAAGGCCCTGCCTCCAGGGCGAATGAGGACATGCAGGTGGCGAAAGTGCCGTCGGGAGTTCAGGGGCCATCTTCCGAGGTCCTCATGGTTTCCCTCCCGGCTGGTACGGCCGTGATGAACGGTACGGCTGACCCGAGGGCGCTTCTGAGAGGCATCACCCTCGAGATTGACAGAGTAGCCCTCGGGGCTGATGAAGACGAAGCCCTCGAGGACAGGATCCTCCGGTCTTCCCTCACAGTAAGTCTTTGATGTTTATATCTTTCTTTTTTACTTCGAGCTAAGAAACCATGTTTGGCCTCGCTGACCCCTTTGTTTTTGTAGACCTGCATTGCCCTCGGGGAGCAAGCCCGGCGGCTAGAGGAGTGGCGCCTTCGCAAGGCCGAGCAGGAGGCCAAGATGCGGGAGCTCATTCGCCAGAATGCAGACGCTGTTCGGCAGATGGCTATGCTGGAGGAGAGCCTTCGGCAGATGACCCTGCGGGCGGAGGCCGCAGATCGGGGCAGGGCAGAAGCCGAGAGGTCCGCAGCTGAGGCCTTGGAGAGAGCTGCCAAGGAAGCCGAGGCCGCGAAGGTGGAAGCCGTCGAGAGAGCCCGAGGGGACGCAATCTCGGGGTTCTTGGCAGGGGGTGGCGGTCCGAGGAGCACAAGCAATGGCTGTCCTCGGTCGTCGAGTCCTCGGTTGACGAGTGGTGTGATGGGCCTGGCGTGGAGTGGGTTTCCCGGAAGGGTAAACAATACTATGATGGGGGCGAGTTTTTCACTCAAGCCCTCATCTACCGGAGGATGGCTCGCCACTTGAAGATCGAGCCAAAGGACTTTGACCCGGCAGCATACGGGCTCCCCCCTGCAGCCAGACATCCGTGTTCCTCTCCCCCCCGATGTCGAGAGGCCAGACCTGGAGGACTCTGAGCTTATGAAGGAAGCCGAGGGTGACGAACCTGAGGCCGACGCAGAAGTTACCTCGAAGCCATCGGGGGAGGCGGCCCCCGGGAATGACATTGTTGATATGTAACATGCATTATGTAAACATGTATTTGTAATGGTGACATTATTCATCCTTCGGCTTCGGCCTGCTTGTAACATTTATCGTAATTACATTTGCCCTCTGTTGTTGATGATTGAATGATTGCCTTCGGGCTCTGTATATATATGACTTGTTTTCTCCAATTCCTCTCTTCTTGAATGTATGCCTCCGTTTTCCTTGAGTGTATGCCTTCGGTATTTTTGAATGTATGTTTAGGACTTAGAATATTTTCTGATTGTAGCTTGCCCCTGGAAGCCTTCGGTAGTTGGGCACCCTCTGCTGGACATGCACCCGAGGGTTCAGTAGGAATTAGGACTTAGAAGATTTTTCTAAGTGTAGCACACCTTAAGGCCTTCGGGTGTTTGCAGTAACCCAATTCCTAGGACTTAGAAAAATTTCTAAGTGTAGATTTTCCCTTGGGGGCCTTCGGGAGATGGCATCCGTTCCTGATGTGTGAATATTGGACCGAGGGCCCAATGTACAGGACTTAGAAAATTTTTGCAAGTGTAGTATGTCACGTAGCCTTCGGCTACTGTGGAGCCCCAACTGAAATATTGAATAGACCGGGGACCAATTCTTTAGGACTTAGAAAATTTTCTTGAGTGTTGATTCCTCGTGTACTGTAGCCCTCGATTGATAGGTAGCCTTCGGCAATTGGGTCCCTTGAGATGAGGGTGAAATATGTAGGACTTAGAAAATTTTCTTGAGTGTTGATTCCTCGTGTACTGTAGCCCTCGATTGATAGGTAGCCTTCGGCAATTGGGTCCCTTGAGATGAGGGTGAAATATGTAGGACTTAGAAAATCTTCTAAGTGTAGAGTTTCCCTTGGGAGCCTTCGGGAGATGGAATCCCTCCATGATGTATGAGTAGTTGACCGGGGGGGGGGGGGAATATGCAGGACTTAGAAAATATTCTAAGTGTAGATTTTCCCTTGGGAGCCTTCGGGAGATGGCATCCCTTCTTGATGTATGAGTAGTTGACCGGGGGAAAACCATGTAGGACTTAGAAAATATTCTAAGTGTAGATTTTCCGTTGGGAGCCTTCGGGAGATGGCATCCCGTCTTGATGTATGGCCTTCGACTGTCATATTCCTTTAGCTGCAATACTGATTGAGCCGGGGGCCCATCTTTAGGACATAGAATTATTTTTGCAAGTGTTGTTGTATTGCATAGCCTCCGGCTATTGTATTCCCCTGACTGTAATGTTGATTGAGCCGGGGGCCCAATTTTAGGACTTAGAATTTTTTTGCAAGTGTAAAGTGATGTCAAGCTTCCAGGTGTAGAGCCCTCCGGATATATGAACGGGACCCTTCGGGTGATCGTGGGCCCCTTGAGTTGTTGTGGAATCCTGTTGTTGTGAAGAAAGCCAATGATGAGTGTGTGCCCTCGGCATACACTTTAAAAGTTGTAGATTTTGA